GTCAGAGTTGAGAGGGATTTGTGTACTGGCAGGAAAAGAGTTTTACAGCACAATTTTTTTTCCTCAATGGACTCAAAAGAATGCATGCCTATATGAAATGGTCATGTATAGAGAAGGAAGCACCTGAAAATTGGCAAATAATTTAAGGTTGATTTCACTAAGGGGAGTACAACACAGCAATAATTCTTTGTTCCATTACAAAAATGGTTATAATTAAATCAGAGGGGTGGGGTTGGGGAAGTTTACACAAGGCAAGCATGTGCACTTTCAAGTGGATCATTTACAAAACACCATGAGCAAAAAAATTCAGGTGTTGAGTTTAATCTGAAGGAGGTGGCAATAGTGGAGTCATGGGGATAAACATGACAGGAAGATGGTTTTTGAATATCACTTTAACCTACAAGACAACAGTAGTAGTATTTCCTACAGTGTGGAAGCAGGCCATTCAGCCCTTTGAGTCCACATCTCGCCTTCGGAGAGCATTTCACCCAGACTCTTCCCTCCACACGCCACCCCCCATCCCCCCACTAGGAAAATGTGCAAACTCTGCAGACAGTAGCCTGACTGTGGATTTGAGCCCAGGTCTCTGGTGTCACGATGCAGCAGTGCTAGCCATTGTACCGCTCCGAAAAGGTGTTTTGTAACTTCAAGCTGTGAGATTGTAACAGTTGGAAGGACTGTTGCCTTGGTCATTTGGAAAACGACAACTGTAGTAGTGGGAGAATTACCTACCCTGTAAGACGATTACTCCTGTATTACTGATTTATACCAATCATGAGGTACCCAGCAACAGTTTTAAAATTGACCACAAATCTGTCTTGCAGATTGGGGACAAATTCTGAAGAGTCATATCAGATTCAAAACTAACTGTTTCTCCACAAACGTGCAGGCTATTTCATCATTTTCTACTTTTATTTAAGATGTCTAGCATCTGCAGTTTTTGTTTGTGTTAGGAAGTGTGCTTCAATATTGATGTTTTATAGAACTGTTGTAAAATAAAAAGTTTGTTTCTCCTTTTTATTCTGTAGAACGAAATTGTAGTTAGTTATTATAATCCAGTTATAACGTGGTACCCGCTGAGATTCTCCAGTATTTGTTTATATTTCAAATTTCCATATCCTCAGTGTTTTGTATTTTATTTGGCTGTATAGCGTCATTACTCAATTGACTCAATGAAGGATTTGTTTTTTTATTATTCATTCGTGGGATGAGGGCTAGGCCAGCATTTATTGCCTATCTCTAATTGCCCAGAGGCCAGTTGAGAGTCAGCCACATTGCTGTGGGTCTGGGGTCACATGTAGGCCAGACCAGGTAAAGGATGGTGGCTTCCTTCCCTAAAGGACATTAGTGAACCAGGTGTGTTTTTCCAACATTCGACAATGGATTCATGGTCATCATTAGACCCTCAATTTCAGATATTAATTGAATTCAAATTCCATCATCTGCCATGGCGGGATTTGAACCCAGGTCCCCGGAACATTATCTGGGTTTCTGGATTAACAGTCCAGTGAAACTATCGCTAGGTCATTGCCTCCCTGTGTAACACTTATCAAGCCCTATTTCAAAACTGGATGGTGATCTATGTCTGTTTAAGAGCATAAAGCAACTTTAACAATTTAATGAGAATGTAGAAGATTGAAAGAATTGTTCGACCAAACAGATCATCATGAGCGAAATGTATTTTCAAGTGGGGTAAAAGCAGAAAATATTGAAAATACCCAGGCTGGATAGGCAGAGAAATGGAATTAATACTTGATTTCAGTAAAGCATTCTCTACAGATGCTGCCAGATGTGTTGGCTGTTTCCAGCATTTGTGTTTAATTTACAGCATTTTTCATGTATGTTTTTGAAGTGTGCTATATTATTGATTCTGTAGAATTTGTCTTCTGCATTGCTAAGTTGTGGTTAATTATTCGAATACAATTATATCCTGGTACCTGAATCGTAATTTTATAGCAAAGCATCTTGTCCTTTTGTGGATTAAATTATTTCCAAAAAGTACTGAATTTCCCATTTAATGCTTATGTTAGCTCATCTTAGAGGCTTGCACTTCCTATAGGTTAATCATTTAAATGTTTAAGTCACAGTTCAATATTTGAACACGCAGGCTCCCCACACTGGCACCTCAAGGTATGAGTGCTGCATTGTTAGTTATGCTACTTTTGCTGCGTTAAACTGAGAATTTTATTTCCAGAAAGTTAAAGCTATTAAAATTTCCATACAGTTTGAGGTTCAAGCCTTTTGTTGTCCTGTCCAGCATTCCTCCTCATCCAACCATGTAACCACATTAACCAATCATCATGTTACTTTTAATCAGATATGATACTATGTAATAGCTTTATAATAATCCATAGTTCATGACTATTACAAGCAGTGGTGTAAAAGGTAATGCATTGACTGGAAACCTTAACTCTCAGTTTTGAAACCTGGATGAAAGTTGGGCCATCTTCAGGGTAGTGCAGAGTTTCTGATTCCGGAATGGTTAGTGGGGAGCCAATGTGTTTCGCAACTGTTTTGCATGACAGTTAGTATGGGTGGGATGGAATCAACACTGTTCTCCACTTCTAAAGTGATTTATAGTATTTAACTCTGATTTAGACCTTATTTAGATCAGGAGTATTTCCCTAATAACTTTAGTCTATTTGAATTCAACCTAGTCAATGCCGCAAATGCTTACTCTCTAGAGTTCAAATCACCACCCTGCAGCAGATAATGCGTCCCAAGAGTGTTGCTTTCCTCCAAATAGCCTGCTTAGTTTCAATAAGCTTCAGCTATGTTGTAAAAATCCCAAATAATCTCAGGATCTGTGATTTCTGTCTCTGGGACATGTGCTTCCCTGTTTAAGAAGAGTAGGGTTCATTTCCATTGTGACAGTAAAAACTTAAATCAGACAATGTACTAATTATACGATTTTGCTTACAAAAAATAACAATATACTTTTGAAGTGAATAACTAAACCACTGTGCCAAAAACTAACAAATGATGTGCTACCAAATCAAATAGAATCCAGTTTGATGTTACTCACAACTATGGAAAAACATCAAGGAATATTTAGGAATCTCTAGTAATATAAAAACAGAATATCCGTCAACATTTTAAGTTTTATCGTCAAGCCAGTAAGAAGTCATCTCGTGGGAGAAAATATCTTAGGGATAAATACTACTGTTGCCAGTGAACTCTCTTTATTGCCCCATAGCAACCCACCATCACCCCTACCATGCCTACTTCACCAAATTCCAATCTTTCTATCTGGTTACATTTCGGTTTGTACCTGATGTTTCAAATTATCATTTGCGATAGAAAAAATGTATTGGCAACTTGCTGTTCAATGGAAATAGCTTGCCTTTTTCCATTCAACAAGGGAATTTTTGAAGAGAGGGGCGAGTGGGAGCTGGCTAGCTGCTGTTGGAGTCTTTCCTGTACCTCCACATGGGAGAGGGGGAGAGGGACACTAGGAGCAAGAGAGTGAGACAGATAAAAATCGAAAGAACTGCAGATGCTGCAAGTCGGGAACAAAAACAAAGTTTCTGGAAAAGCTCAGCAGGTCTGGCAGCATCTGTAGAGGAGAAAACAGAGTTAACGTTTCTGGTCTGGTGACCCTTCTTCAGAACTGTGGGTGGCTGGAAAAACTTCAGTTCGATAATTTTAGGGCCTAAACTCTCCCATGTCCCAGCCCCCTACCCCACACACCAGGCCTTGTTACCATAGCCTGCCATTACACACTACCTGTTATTAGTCATCATTAACAATTATTCACCCTCCCAGCCTGATCGTTATCAACTCTTCGTCTGTCAACTGTTGTTCTCTTTAGGCTCTACCCTATCGTTTACTCCCTACCCCATCCCCCTCCCCTTTTCTTTTTGTATATAAACTGACACACAGGGAGAATGTGCAAACTCCACACACTGTGGCCCAAGGGTGGAATTGAACCCGGGTCCCTGGCGCTGTGAGGCAGCAGTGCTAACCACTGAGCCACCATGCTGCCCCATGTTTCTCTGCTGCACTGGCCCTATGCGAGCCAAGCACACCTGGTCAGAACTCAGTCTAGACATTTATTTTTAAGCATTGTCTCCTCGTTCAGAGCCCATCAGCTCCATTGTCTCTGCTTTTGTTTTCAGGGTTCTGGGAAAAGTCAGCATTCCATACAGTTCACAATGTGTTTCGGTAAACATGGCTTTTAAAACTGCAGCCTTCTCTTTGTAGAGTCTCCTTGGTTAAAATTGTATTTTCCCTTTTTATTTAGGCAACAGTCCAAAAATGAAGGAAATAGAGATGTAATCTAAAGTATTCTTGCTTTTGATGTTCTATTTAAGAAAGCCAGTTGGTAAAGGATTGAACTAGAGCCAGCCTTTGCACACGATCCACTACAAGCATACTGTCCCTGTCCTAACAACAGCAACTTTAGAATCTGTGATTTTTTTTTTAAATGGAGCTCGAGAGAGAATTTTCACGTCAACCTGTTGGGGATGTTATTGCATACCTCTGGAGCTGATGGGACTTGAACCTAGGCCTCCTTGTCCAGAGGTAGAGATGCTACCGCTGCATTTCCAGAGCCCGTAAAAGGCAGGAATGCACAGTACATGCTCTGTTCATTTCAACTTGCAGCAATTTTTAATCAACCTGTTCAAGGATGTTATGACATCTCAATACCAAAGTCTGAGGGACTCAGAAAAACCCCCCCACCTCCCAATTTAGATTCTCTGATCAATCTGTTCAGAGGCGTCATTACTCACTTCTCGAGCAAGTGGGACTTGAGCCTAGGACTCCTGGCTCAGAGGTAGGGACATTACCATTGCATCGCAAGAGATGTCTCAAGTTCCCCCCATCCTCCCCACACCCTTAATGCCCCCCACTTGTACGCAATGAAGCACTATTAACATAGTTAACTTTTGAATGGTGGTTACCCTAACAAGGTAGTAAATCTATATTTTTGAAAATTTGTGTAGTTTCTCAATGCTGAATTCACTATTGACTAGTTGTGTTTTTTTCTCTGCTTGAAGCTAAGGATGAAGGAAGCATTGCTGTTGCCTTGGGCTACACAGCCCATCTGGTGCTCATGATTTCCTGTTTCCTGCAAGTACCACTCAGGTATCCTATCATCCAGAAGGGGTCCCGGTCCACAATCAGGGACAACATCACCGACAAGCTTTCTGAGAAGGAGAGAGAGTAAGTAGATGTCACTTGTAATTAATTCTACGATTTAAGTGAAAGGGCAGAAAACTTGAAATGTTTTGGAAAAGAGTAGATCTCTACTTTTGCTTGCTTAACTATATTCCCTGTGTTTATAAGTTTAATCCTAGATGAATAACTAAGTAAGTCAGTATCAAATGTGAAGTGCTTTTGCTAGTCTGAAAACTGGCACCTGTTTAAAACTGTGGCATGTTTAAAACAGTATGCTGGATAAATGGCAGTGAGTTAAAGAGCTATCATTTAGTCATGTGTTCCAGTGTGATCATGAGCAATGAGAGTAGATTTAAGAAAGAGCTGCATGGATAACAATTGCAGGTGACGTTCTACATATTATGGCGTAGCAGTTCACATTTCAACTTCTACTGTAGAGTAGCAACATGTCTTATCTAAATATTTTAGACCCACTATTGATATTTCAGCTGAAAACACACAGCATCAAGTGAGGTTTAAAATATCCGTCAATAAAAATGTGTTCGTCAATAAAAATGTGTTCGATACTAAGCGGTGTGTGGTGGTTGAAATGACGCTGCTGCCACTTAGCCAAACTTTATCTCCTCTTGATTATTATGCTAATATTCAGACTGAGAACTTCATGGAGAAAGTTGTAGCTAAGTAACTAATGCTACATTGATTATTTCTTGTAAAAAGAAGTGGAAGTGTAGCATAACACAGACATCTAACCGATCAACAGCAGACGGTCTAATCAGATAATCAGTAATGAAAGGGGATCAAATATCCTGATCAAAAATGCTTTGTATTGGTAGAAAGCATTTTCAATGTGTTGGGTGAGAAATTCAACGTTGAATGTTTTTATTAGGAAGCATTTGCAGTGACAATGTAACATTTCTTGTGAAATTTGTTTCAATAATTAAGTAGCACTTGTGGTCACCTGAATGGACCCAAGATACCAGTGCAAACTTGTTGCTGTTTAGGGCAGTTGGTGTTTCCTTTGTGTGAGAGAAGTCCTATGTAAATGCCAGGCTAAACACAGGTACAAGCAACAACAAGTCAGTCACCACCAATAACAAAACAGGACGTTGAAACTAGTCATGAACTGTCATGTTAAAGAACAGAAATTGCTGCAACCAAAATCTAATTTTTGAAAATAAGATCAGTATTTTCTAGCATTGTGAGAGGTGTTTTTGGCTATTTTGCATGTGATGGTTTTCTGAGAAAATTAAATGATCGCCCTTTCAAATAATATTTTCTGCTTGGATGCCGCAACACTTCAAAAGTAAGGCAGAAAATGTAACTCAAAAGCTGCAGCTGGGAACATCTAGAAGGTTAGATAGGTTGCTAAAAGCTAATAACTTCAGGTACAGTACCATGCTGTCTGGCTTTTATGGTAGATCACACTGGATATGTGTTGTTTGAAAGAACAAAAATTTGTTCAATTTGAACTATAAACCTGCATAGTCACTGTAGTAATAAGCAATAATACCCTTCAGAAGGGACGGCTCCTCTTGAAATAGGTTTACTTTGGGCCAGAATGTGGGGCATTTTCACTCCAGTTTCTTTGCACAGTTGCTGCACGTGCAGATAGCTGAACCTGTTTTAGCCCATCAAGCAACGATTGTCTTTTGAGAACACTAAGTAAACCACCAAGTGGTCATTACAGCGCGCAACGTAGTACTAATGAGTTGCAAATTAAAGAAGACCTGACTACCCTGATGTTCAGAAACTAAAGCCACTACTAGCTGGTTTAAGCCTACTGGCCACCAAATATGCACAACCCGCTGCTGATGCTGCTTTAGTTTTAAGTAAAATCTGTCGCTGTCAGATTTAAAATATTATAGTGTTTTATGAAAGACCTATAAATTTATCTCATTTAGAGAAAAATATTCATCTGAGATCACCTTCCTGTATGTTAAATTGAACTGTGAAAGATGAGGTTTGGCAGCTTGGCTCAGTGGAACAGTTCTGTGATGCAAGTCAAAGGTTCTTTTTCGAAGTTTCATTTTGGACAGAGGCATAACCTGTTTAAATTTGTTCAGGGTTTTTTGGTGGGTCACATTTCTGCCTCAGTATTAGAACAATCCGTTTCTACAGGAGAACCTTAAGTGCAATATGTCGGCAGATTCTCCAGTATGGCATTGAGGGAATATGGTACTGTAAGGTGAGACTTGAAACTGGATAGATGCCTCCGGTAGATATGAAAGATCTTATGACACAGTTCAAGCAGTTCTTGATGTGTGGTTTTTGGTCTGCTGCTCTCCCCTCATCAGTAAAATGTAAATACTTTTGCAATTACTTATTCATTGTCTCACTAGACATAAATGATGCTGGACAGAATTGGCAGGGACCCAAGCTTATATCTGACCTCTTGGCTGTGGAATTGCCTAGCTCTGTCTGTTACTTGTTGTTTCCATTATTTCCTGCTTAGCTTCACCAGGTTGACATATCTCATTTTTAGGTATGCCTGGTGCTGCTCCTAGTTTGCCCTCCTACACTCTATATTCAACCAGAGTTAATTCCATGGCATGAAGGTAATCTTGGTTTCAGGAATATGCCAAAAACCAGGACATTGTAGATCATGTTTGAATACAGATCTGCTGCTAATGGATCATACTGCCTGCTGGGTGTCCAATTTGGCTTTGCTGGATCTATTTGAAATCTTAAAAATATCCCATTTAGCACAGTGGTAGAGCCAGACAACATGATGGATGCTTTCCTAAATGTGAATATAGAACTTCATCTCTAAGGATCATGTGGTGATCTCTCCTTCGGTTACAGTCATCCTGCCATCGTACTTTCAGAAGCCAGTTCAGTGAGGATGAAGTCACGTTTTCCATTCTTGTGTTCTCAGCACTTAGTGTAGACATAGATGAGCAGCTATGCCCTTTAGGGCACAACAGTTTTGCTCACTGGTGGTACTGAGCCACTCTTTATGATGAATATCAAAGTCCCCCACCCAGACAGTGTACATTTTGTGCCCTTGCCACCCTCAGTGCTTCCTCCTAGTGGGACTTCAACATGGAGAACAATTGATCAGCTGAATGTAAGGGGGATGATTACGTGGTGATCAGCAAGAATTTTCCTTGGCCATTATATGCAGTGATACTTAGACCAAGATCTGCACGGGTCACGCTGTGTATTGTATCTAACGTGGAGTCGAGCATCACATTATATTTTACTCAGATAGTAAGAACTGCTGATGCTGGAGTCAGAGATAACAGTGTGGGGCTGGAGGAACACAGCAGGCCAGGCAGCATCAGAGGAGTAGGAAAGTTGACGTTTTGGGTCGGGACCCTTCTGAAGCCCATTTCTGAAGAAGGGTCCCGACCCGAAACGTCAACTTCCCTACTTCTCTGATGCTTCCTGGCCTGCTGTGTTCCTCCAGCTCCGCACATTATATTTTACATCTGGTTAAGCAAGATGAGTGTCAGGAATACTGGAGCATTATTACTGCGATGGTCCCTTTTGTAATTGTGAATCCGACCTTGAATAATTTAAAGTTTCATGATTTGTTTTGCATAAACGCAGCTGCACACTGGACTATTTTTAATTCTTCAAGTATCTGCATTATCGTGGTTTGTGCGGATGTATTTAGGTTAATCCTTGAGCTTCATGGATCATCGAAGCTGATGATATCTGTGTCGGGTCTTAAAGTTTGGTTGTAACTTCCTGTGAATTTCATTTGGATTTCCCAACTTAATTTTAGATTTGAAGTTTAAATAAATGGCTCCATAAACATTTAGTGTGACTTGGGTGGGAGGGAAGTACAAGTTGGTGATGAGGAGGCAGTTGGAACAGTACGTTTGATTCTGGTCACTGCATCACGAAAAGAGCATGCATTGGAAAGATTCCAATGTACAGAGTGCAATGGGACTGATTCCAAGGGTAAAACTCCTAGAAAGAAGGAAATTAATGGGAGTGGAAATCTTAATGAGGTATATAATTATTATATGGTGTGAATATTAAATGCACAATACAACTTCAAAAGCAGGAAATTACAACATATATTTTAATTTGGGTAAGATTTATTTGCCAAAGTAATGGTCGTTGAATTCGTTACTGGTGTATGTTTGCCAACAAATTAATAGTTCTTGCACTTCACAAGTAGATCCTGGCTGTAAAGTTCTTTGCTTTTCATAGCTGAATGATTCTTCAATGTAACCTTTGCCTCATTTTCCTGCTCTTATGGAACGTGTGTTATGTTGCAAATAACTTTTTTTTATTGAGTTGGCTGGAATCACAGAATAAGTAAAAAGACTGTACAGCATTTTAAAGCACGTAAACAGGAGTTTCTACAATGGTCAACCAATAACATTGCCGTACCTTGCAAATTACCATCAGAACAGAATCGGCCATTCCAGAAGTGGCCCACCAGAAACTGTCAATTTCAACAACTGTAATTAGGCCCTGAACCATTCATAGAACATTCAGAGCTGACCAGTATAATCAGAAGGAAGGTGATGGCCCGATGGTCTCGTCACTGGACTAGCAAATCAGAGGTCCATGTCATATTTTGGGGACCTGGGTTGAAATCTGCCATGGTAGATAGTAGTTTTTGAATTCAGTCAAAATCTGGAATTAAGAATTTAATGATGGCCTTGGAACCATTGTCAATTACTGGAAAAACCCATGTGGTTCTCCCATTTGCTGCCATTGTAACCTGGTCTGACCAAGATGTGACTTCAGACTCTCTCAGCTGTTTGGTTGACTCTTAATGAACTCTTCTGAGCAATTAAGGATGAGCCATAAATGCTGGCCTAGCCAGTGACACCCATATCCTGTGAAAGGTTTTTCTTAAAATTCAATCAACCATAATCTAGAATGGGAAAGCAGACTCAAGGGGCTGAATTGCCTATTCATGCTTAAGTGTTTCTGTGTATTCTACTGGATATGGATAGCTGCAATTACTTTGTACAGTGCCCCAGGCTAAGCAAAGAACTTTTCCATCTTGACCTGTAGTCAGCTTGCTATGGCCATGTTTGCATAACTGGTCAGTTTGAGAGATCATGTGCTAGCAACTA